TTTTTGGAGAAATTAAAGAGCTGTTCATGTATTTCTATGGGGAACGTCTTTGCAAATAAAGTTGAAAATACTTAGAATAATTAAATAATTATTATAAAAAACAAAAGTCATAGCAGCCGTCTCCTGAATCTTAATGATCGACTAAAAGTTTACAGAACTAGTTACATTGCAAAAAATTTTAAATAAAAAAGAAACAAGAGAAAAATCCCCACCGAATTATTAATAAAACCACAAAACTGTAATATTTAGTGATTTCATTTATAAATGATCATATTTTTTCCTTGGGTTGTGACGGACACAGATTTGTTTTTGTTTCTGCAGGTGTGTGTCCCCTGACCAAGGTCAATGTGATGGCAGGGGACATGGTTGCGCTGCAGTGTGGACCCTGCAGACACAATGACTCTGTGACGCTGTGGACTGCGGACAACGACCTGATGACGGTTCTGTACAGCAACATGTCAGCAGCACAGCAGAAACAGTTGGGTGTGATTGTTTATCAGAACATCCTGGTGATTCTGAGCACATCTATGAACTATCAGGGGAATTATTCCTGCCGGCAGCAAAGGTACGGTCTAAACCTTTCTAACCGAACAACATCAGTCCTGATTATAGTCTGAACCTACTTAAGATAACATCGGTCGTGATTATGGTCTGAACTTTAATAACCGAACACCATAAGTCCTGATTATGGTCTAAACCTTTTAAACCTAACACCATCGGTCCTGATTATGGTCTGAACCTTCTAAACCTAACACCATCGGTCCTGATTATGATCCGAACCTTCTAAACCTAACACCATCAGTCCTGATTATGGTCTGAACCTTCCTAACCTAACACCATCGGTCCTGATTATGGTCTGAACCTTCCTAACCTAACACCATCGGTCCTGGTTATGGTCTGAACCTTCCTAACCTAACACCATCGGTCCTGGTTATGATCCGAACCTTCTAAACCTAACACAATCGGTCCTGATAATGGTCTGAGCCTTCTAAACCTAACACCATCGGTCCTGATTATGGTCTGAACCTTCTAAACCTAACACCATCGGTCCTGATTATGGTCTGAACCTTCTAAACCTAACACCATCGGTCCTGAT